TGACGGTGTAATTTAGTGCAATCTGATTGGCTCAAGCGGACTGTATTTTACGTATCACGGAACTCGGGGAGAGCAAATTTGTGAAAAAATGTTAGAAAAATTGTTCTTATGGTAGGCATTTTTCATGCACAAGATGTTCTATTATTGCTCTGAAATGCCCCCTGCATTTGGAACACTTTTTGATGTTTCCAGATTTTTTGATCTGAACATATTGGAATGCATCCGGGTTTACAGCTCGGCGAATACTAAACACTGCCTGATGAATGTATATTTCAAACACCGATAGCCAAAAAAATATTTTAGGGTGGATGGGGTGGGAGCGGTACATATAGCATGCATATCAAACTTCTACGAAATTTGTACTTTGTCTTTTATCTCGCCCAATACACCCATTACTTTTCAGTCTTTGGCATTATTTATGACGATTTTACGACAGCTTTAATGGGGTTCTTCGTCGTTTTCCGGATACGTCAAGCAAAGGCCCTTCAGTGATTATGGATATAACTTCACGTTTAAGTTCTGCCGCGCCAAAGTTTACGTTTTAGCTATAATTTGCATAAAAGTCAGGCTATAAAACATGGACGGTATTTCGAGCTTGTGTGACTTGCCAATGTCGCATAAATTATATCAAGCGAGGACCAGCATTCGGTGTACACCAGAAATAAAAAATATTTTCTAACAAGATTGGAACGCAAAGCCTATAAAAATTACAGCAACTATTAGATAAAGGATTGAGCTATTAGTACAAGGGGAATAAGAGAAATCTCTGGAGCCGTTTTGAAGAAAATTAACTTTTCGTGATTTTATTAACAGGCCGCACAATTTTAGCTATTACTCATCTCCAGTAAAAATATTGTAATTCTTTTGATTGGAAAGGTATAGAACTGAAATTTACACACACTAATTTTGATAAATTGATGTACAACATAACGCAAGATCATGGCAATCGGTTGTATATTTATTTATATACGGCTGTTTATTCTATGTAGGTCATATTTTGGGCTCATTTTTGAGCCGCGTTCATATCTTTATTTCTGCGCGAGTTTTTCCAACCAAATTCATAACCCTTATGTAGTTTTATGAGATATACAAATTCTAAAAATTTCAAGATGATCCGATTGTTAGTTTTTACCCTGCGAGCATTTTCCTTCGCGAATTTTTATTGAGGTAAGGAAATACACTCTGCTTGCAGGGTAGTTACTTTTAGAGTAAATCGTCGAAAACTGGAATTATCACTGTTTGAAAATGCGCTGTATATTTAAAACCAGCCAATAAATTACTAAATACTGAAAACTGTCAAAAACTGCAATAATCACTGCATGTTATATCAAAATTTTAGCATGTTTATTAAATATTTTTGCAAAGCGAGCAGGTTAAAAAAGTTCAAAATTTGCATTTCATTAGTTGTGATCCACCTTAGAAAACTCCTACTCTTTTTGTAAATACCACATAAACAGTAGACTGTAGAAATAGGAAAAGAATTAGTTACAAATAGAGATGAATTCTAAAAGATATAATATTAAGAAATTCAGAAGTTGAACTAGTCTAATTTGTATTTGAATCAATCCATTATTCTTGTTGCAATTGCAGAATCATAGAAAAGTGCACATTAATTTAGTACTCTAGTTACTAGTTAAAAGGAATAATGACAAATAGGGAATAAAGACAAATGAAAGTCACTCACAGGCTGAAGGCTGAAAATATTGCAGCAATTTAGTGTGTATATACACCATAAACAGATGCAATTATAATATTTCTGACTGTAGTCCTTTATTTAGGTTGAATATACATATAATAGTCCTCTCATGGAATATGAATAGGCTAAATTAACATTTAGGTTTAGTGTGATAAGCAAACAAATGGATCAGTCATTGGACTAGATGTTTTAATTAACAATTTTCAATTGAATAAAAGTAAACAAGTGTAATTACAATTTATTATGTGGTAAGTACACTTTTTCATATTTCAGTCAAAAAACAATGGAAATAATGGCTCAACTAACAAGTCAGGTCCATTGGAAATGGATAAACCAGCAGGTGATGGTAATCGCACCAGTCCTGAAGCGTAGTTGTTTAGTTCAGGTACTATTTTCTGCACACTGAATGCATGTACCATTATAGTATATTATTTTATTGTAAAGTCAAGGGGATTTTTTATTTTTTATTTTTTTTAGATTTAAGAATATATTGTTTTCAGCACTGTCTTTGCTTTGTAACTGTAGATGTTTTTGATGTATTATTAATATATCTTCAGCATATATAGAAATTTTCATAAAAATTTTGCCAGCTATGATTATGTCAATGATTGAACCAAAGAATCAATATGGATTGGGTCTTCCAACCTGTTTGGACTGTTTGTATTTTCAGTGAACAGTGTAAATAATATCTTCTTTGAGCTGGCCTATGGTTATACTACTACCTACATGTAGGTGATTTTATTAAGTCAACAGGATATGCTATGTATGACAAATAATTAACCCAAATATATTATGATCTCTTTAACTGCTTCAATAAGCGTTAGTTAGGGACCTACTATGCATGGAGGTACAGGTGCCTTGGCCAGCTATTTCAAACACTAAAAGGATGAATTAAGATTTGACATTAAATTTTTCTGCCTTGAGCAGCATAGTCAGCCTGAAGCAAGTGAAATCTGAATTCATTAGTAAGATATTTACTTGATATTTGTTGCACCTTTATCATATTCAACAGTTGTAAAGGAATTGAGAAGGTCTTAGTAAAGACGAAACTAATTTTCCTTATAAACCAAATCTTTAATGTGTTTTTTTGTGTCAAAGGAGAGATCAAAAATATGTTGACATTTTTTAAAAAATTGATGAACAAAACTCATAGTTTGCAACATGAACGGCCATGTTGTATGTGGTTTACAATCTCAATTTGGGCGAGAGATTGTAATTCCCATACAACGCAGATGTTGTAAACAACTTGTGAAATGACAACACTAATTAAGATGAATTACAGTGAGATAATGATGAAAAATGACAAATAAGCTAACTGCTGAGTTTAGTAGCTATTAGGCAATGTGCAATCTACTGCAACAAAGAGCATTTTGAATATTATTAATTATTTATTAATATCCCAGGCACATTGAAAGCGATAGCCATATGTTGCATAAGTGCTGCTATTTGTCTTTGTTTTCTTTAAAACCTAGTGAAGGTCAATGATACGACACTAAAACTGAGACCTTTGCTAGTGTTGGGTTGTCTCAATGGTGATGACCGTGTTGTAAACCTGATTCAGGTCAATCACCTGACCAAATAGACAGTCCTTATTGGAGTAATTGTTCATGCTTATTAATGAGTTTTCTTAGCAGTTTTCTTAATACTNTCGCGAGTTTTACTATCCAAACAACATTTGGCTGGAAGAGTATAAAAAGTGGACCATTGAATTTCTTTTTGAAATTTGCTTTGATAGAAAGATTTCGCAGTGGGGTCAGTAACTTTCTGTTCAACGAGATTCCAGTATACTTGTTTAGAAGAAATCTTTTGTAAGGGAGAGCGTTTATCATTTAAAAAAATTGTAACGATGTTATCTCCAGTGTTAGGTTTTTGACGTTCAATATTTTTTTTATTCGATTTTAGTATTGAAAGCCACAGCGGAGGGATCGAATGCAAAACACCATTTATTAGAAGTCTTTCTCTTGGAGATAATGTATTTAGTACTCGCACTTTTAACAATCCGTTTTGGTCGTAAAGATCACTGATTTTGTTGATACCTTTGGCGGACACGTTTTTATCGAAAACTGATTGTTTATTAATGCAAATATAMTGGTTGTTCCAAATTGATTCGTCAAGTATTTGGCTGACTGAGTGAGGCTCATGCGCAGGTTTTAGTAAAGACCAGGCTTTTATGCATTCGCTATAAAAAAGTGGGAGATTTAGATCGAGCTTTTTATYATTGTAGTTACAACTGAAGAGAACTTTACCACCTACATTATTCAGATAATAGTCTAAAAAGGTTTTCCATGTGGCAGCGGATGTTTCTATATATTTCTTGATACACATTATTCGTTGGGCTAGGACTGCTGATTCAACATCAGGCATCTTCAGACCGCCATTTTCAAAGGAATTTATAAGTGACTTTCMTTTTATTTTGTCTTTGCCATTCCAAATAAAACCATATAGGAGTTGATTTAATTCATTGATAAAGCTTCCGTCAATCGATACTACAGAGGAACAAAAAAGCAATTTTGGGATAACGAACGTCTTGATGATTTGAATTTTACCGTTTAGAGTAAGTCCTCTCCATTTCCACATTTTAAACAACTCTTTGATTTTAACTAGCATTGAGTGGAAGTTGAGCTTCTTGAAAGCGTTTTTATCATATGTAAAGAAAATTCCRAGGATTTTAACTTGATTTTTAATTTCTTCTACGCCTAGCTCAATGTTCGAAAAATTGGCTGAACRGAGGCAAAAAACTTCAGTTTTTTCTTTATTCATCTTCAGGCCTGACAAGGAAGAAAAGTGATTTATCACTTCCATCAATTTGTTGTAGCTTTGTATAGAATCAACGAACACRGTAAGATCATCCGCGAAAGTAACTAGTTTTATTTTCTCGTTTCTAAGTGTTAGCCCATTGATTTGTTTTTCGTTCCTTATCTGAGAAAGCAATGGTTCTAGGCATAAGATAAAAAGGTAGGGGGAAAGAGGGTCTCCTTGTCGGACACCTTTGGATATCTGAAAGAAGGGTGTTGCCGTCCCATTGTTCATGACACAACTACATATGTTCATATAAAAAGTTTTAACCCAAGCGATCAAGGAAGGGCCAAAGTTATTTTTTTGTAGAACGTTATAAAGATAATTCCANGTGTACTTAATTTTTAGTGTAAATAAAGAAATAGATGGATATATTTTAGACAAGCTGCACTTATATATGTAGTATTTAGCTAATATAATGATATGATTAATAAGGATATAATTGTCTTCTTGATCTAAGATACCAAGGATAATATCCATTTCACACGAAACTCTCATTTTTATTTCAAAAGTTGATAGCCAAGAAATTACTGCTTTCCAAAAATCGTTTGTAACTTTACATGTTACTAGTAAGTGTTCTAGGGTTTCAATTTGCTTATCACAGAAAGAACACATAGCGGTGTCAGATTTTCCAATTTTATATAATAAGTTATTTGTAAAAACTATYTTATGAAGTATCTTAAATTGAAACTCGCGAGTTTTACTATCCAAACAACATTTGGCTGGAAGAGTATAAAAAGTGGACCATTGAATTTCTTTTTGAAATTTGCTTTGATAGAAAGATTTCGCAGTGGHGTRAGTAYCTTTCTGTTCAACGAGATTCCAGTATACTTGTTTAGAAGAAATCTTTTGTAGGGGAGAGCGTTTATCATTTAAAAATATTGTAACGATGTTATCTCCAGTGTTAGGTTTTTGACGTTCAATATTTTTTTTATTCGATTTTAGTATTGAAAGCCACAGCGGAGGGATCGAATGCAAAACACCATTTATTAGAAGTCTTTCTCTTGGAGATAATGTATTTAGTACTCGCACTTTTAACAATCCGTTTTGGTCGTAAAGATCACTGATTTTGTTGATACCTTTGGCGGACATGTTTTTATCGAAAACTGATTGTTTATTAATGCAAATATATTGGTTGTTCCATCAAAGTCAGTTCACCCTCACATTTTTGTTTTAGCTCCTCTGAGAGTTGAGGTGTGTTACTGTTTACAAAAAGATTTTCATAAAAACTAGATATACATTCAGTGTTTTCTTGATACAGATTTGAGTAGAAACTTTCAATGCCTTGTAAGATATCCTGCGGGTGAGTAGTATATTTATTATCGATCTCAAGTTTGCGTACTGATGTTTTTTTGGATCTGTTACTTTCTAAATTGAGGAAATATTTATTATTTTTTTCTCCGAGTTCGTACCATTGCGCCCTGGAACGGATAATAGAGCCTTGTGTTATGTAGTCGTACATTGCTTCGTATTCCATTTTGATTTTTTCTAGTAATTTCCTGGAATCCTCATTACCTATCGCATCATGATCTATTTGTGCTTTCTTAAGCTTAGCTTCAATCGATGTAAGTTTTTCTCTTTTCCTTTTCGCTTTAGCTTTACTAAAAACTATTGATTCCTGTCTTATTCTATACTTAATCCAGTCCCATTTAAGTCTAGGATCGTCATAATGATTTTCWTTCGCCCAGAGAGGGACGTTTTGTCTAATCATGTTAAGATAATCAGTGTCTTCTAAGAGGCTATTGTTCAGTTTCCAAAAGGATGGGCCGAAATTACAATTTGGGATGCTGTTTAGAGATATTGATATCGCAGAGTGATSAGATTTTATAGCTGTGACGATATCAACAAAATCAATGTCTTCTTGTAAATGATCACTTATCAGCCAATAATCTAAACGCCTTTGAATAAGAGGTTTATTTTGTCGCCAGGTATATCTTTTTCTTTTGGGATTTCTAATTCGCCATATGTCGCACAGGTCCAAATTAATCATTAAGTCCTCTAATTCGTTAATAGAAGCCTTTTTTGATAATTTTCCGCCGGAGCCGTCCAGATCAGGGTTCATCATGATATTCAAGTCGCCACCTAACACAATTTCTCTTCTGTCAAAGTTTTCTATTTTTTCTTTAAGAGATTTAAAAAAAAGACGTTGTTCGCTTACTTTATCAGGTGCATAGACATTTACTAAAAGAAAGGGAGAGTTTTGTATCATGACATCCAAAATAATAAATCTACCGTCAGCGTCAATCAATTCCTTTTTAATCTCAAAGTCAAGAGAATTACTCAGGAGAATCATAACACCTTTACTATGCTTCGTCCCATGAGAGAAAAACAATTTCCCTTTCGCTTGCTTTCTCCATAAGTTTTCTATTTCCTTAGTACTGTACGTTTCTTGAAAAAAGTAGATGTCCGCCTTCTGGTCCTTACACCAGTTAAGGACAGTACATCGTTTTTCATACGTTCTAATACCTCTAACATTCAAGGATAGCATTTTGAAATGGATATTATTCAGGGTCATTTTTGTTTATCATTAATGCAGAAAAAACAAACCTCTCGTGTATTAAAGTATATTGTGCTTGACTGAAAGTAGAAAAAATTTGCATATTTTGCATATTTTTAGATAATATTCTTAACTCCTCCAGAAAAAAAGAAAATATAATGAAAAACATAAGACATGGTACATAACAAGAAGTGAACATATAGGATTTAGATATTAAATTTTGCAAGTTGCCAAAATAGATATTTGT